TTAAATGCATTAACTGTCCTGTGCAGCTTTTTGCAGCCTCGACTGTGGGATTTCAGTGCACAGGATTTGATATAAACTCGATGTTGTTGGGCTATTCGAGGAGTAAAGCAATGTGGCGTGGCAAACCACACAATCATATTCATTTTATCAAATAGGACTTCTGGAAGGTAAAGTGTATGCATACATATTTCAAGTATTTTGCATTATGTTATACGTCTAGCTTTCCTTACTGTAGCTCTTTTATGTTCCAGACGGATCTGTCCGAATACAGAAACTTGAGTGTGTTCTGGCTCCTGCAGTGTTATGCTGCTGGATTGCCATGTGGGGGCGCTATAGGATCATATCATGCATTTTCTGTCAATTAGTAGTGGCCAGAAGGGAAATAAGCTTTTATTTACCCTACAAGTTTGATGAATCCATATTTTATATTTTATAAACTACAGCTACAGGTTTTGTTAAAAATGCATAGAAAAACAAAAAGCTAACATTGACGACAATATAACACGTTATTAATATTTTGTTGGTTCTCATGTGTTCATAATTTCTTTGTGGCCAAAATTATGTCGGCACAATTTGTCATGTTTCATTGCGTTATTATCACAAATAAAACAATCGACTCCAAGCACAACTACACAATATGCTTACAAAATCTTTAACAAATTATTAACAATATTTGAATAAAGGGTGAAGATGTAAATTTTCCTCACTTTTGGCCACTACTGTGCAAATCCCACATGCATCTCATGAAGTTTAAATATTTTTAGTTTTACTGAAATATTTATTATCTTCGCTGATGATTAAATATGCAAGTATGTTAAGATATATTACAGCGTTTTTTAATTTTAGGTTAATGTTCATTCTTAGTTCATGATGCATTAATTATGTTAACGTATGAAAACAGAAACTTTAACCAAAATTAATAAATGCTCAAACTATTGCATTAATGTTAATTTTGTAAAGTAAAGTGTTACCAAAGCATCTTAGCACGACCTTCCATAAAGAATATAATGAGGGTTTAAGGTGTTTAATGGTGATTTATGTCTGTTAATGTGTCAGATGGGGTTCTGGAAGAGAAGCTAAAGGAGTTTCCTGAGGATGCCAGAGTCATTGTGTGTCGTTTCCCTTTCCCTCACCGGCCTCACGTCTGGATCAGGACTGAACCGGGTCTGGGCTTATGATGTACACACTGCTAGAGCATCATCCAGAACATCTTATGCAGAACAAGTCATTCCCAAACCGAGCTGAAGTATTGGATGTTTGACGTTAAATAAATTGTTGCAATGTTTTCAGTCATTTCTTGCCTTTTATTGGACATACACTGTCTAAAACTCTGAGGTCACTCGTGAAAATACATTTTTTCATTTTTTCTTATATACGTATTATTAGCTTAATAATTTGAGTGAGGAGTTATATATATATATTACTTCTCACTATATATATACCGGTATATATATATCGGTATATATATATATATATATATATATAAATACATTTCTGCATTTATTTCAGTCAGTTGCCAAGTTACTTTACCTTGAAAATAACTAAAACTGAAATAAAAATTAATAAAACTATATAGACACAAAAAAAACTATTCCTCACAAAAATTACAAATTTTATTTCAGCTTTTTCAAAATATATCATTTTCATTTAGTTTACCTTGAAAATAACTCAAACTGAAATAAACATTATGAAATATATACAGACATATCAAAAAATCCTAATAAAAATGGAAATGAAAACAATTTTATTTAGCTATTTCAAAATTGCTCATTTTCATTTAGTTTAACTTGAAAATAACTAAATCTGAAATAAAAATGTGTAAAATTGTATTCTACAGACATTAAAAAATCCTAATAAAATGGACAAAATTTTATTTCAGCTATTTCAAACTTTATCATTTTCATTTAGTTAACGCGAAAATAGATAAACTGAAATAAAAATTAAAAAATATATACAGACGTAAAAAACTTCTAATAAAAATGACAAACCCAATTGTATTTAGCTATTTCAACATTTCTCATTTTTATTTAGTTTAACTTTACATTTTGTCATTCAAACCCTAAAGCTTTGTTTGTTTCCAGGTGTGAATGAAAAATGATCCCAAAATTGTTTCTGACTTTTGCGTCTGTCACATTAAAATTCAGGAAAGGATCATGTTTTGCAAATGTTATCTTGCCTTCAGGATAGTTATTATTGATGGTTATTGGTTATTATATCATTACATAAACATCATATCTTCATGTGTTTGGTAATCTCCCTCACAGTCGCCCTGGACACTTTCATCAAGGTCTGTCATGATCACATGTTATCTCTATATTACCCTCAATTCCCAGGGAAAGCAAGAACTGATAGGAATGTAAATGTGAACCTTGAAGTGCAATGTAAGTCGCTTTGGATAAAAGCGTCTGCCAAATGCATAATTGTAAATGTACGGTAAATGTCCATTGATGCCGGTGGTGGTAAAGTAAAGCTTAAGTCTCCCTGTACTCACTTAAAAATGTTGGGTTAAAAATAACCCAACGAATAACCCAACTATGGGTTGGTATAGCACCTTCCCAACTGTGGGTTATTTTAACACAATGCATTGGGTTAAATACCAGTTGGGTTAAAATAACCCAACAGTTGAGTTAAATATTTAACATCCGTTAATATATGAACCATCGAAGCCCGAACGTATTTAACCCAACAGTTAGGTTATAACTAAAAATACCACAACGGCATAACCAAATAACCCAACAAATTTTAAGATAATCCAACATAATGATGACCCAACATGCATACACCAACGGTTATAGTCAATCATTTTATCCCTTAAAACTCATCTTTGGTCACCAAAATGACATATTTAAGCGTTTTTTTTCCATGCCTTAAAATAGCTTGAATGTAACTCGACACCCTTGCCTCATTTTCACTGATGAGTGAAACAAGTCACTTATAAGGAAGGGTCTATTGTTTACATTAGACAACAGGCATATGCTTTCAATTTTATGCTGTTTTGTGTCACATAAAGCAGTCTGCGCTGTGAATATTCGATGTTTGCATGCAATAAATATAAATGTTTACCTGTTGAATTGAAGTATAAATAACTGAGTTCAGCTTGTAAACACTTTATATTGAAAACCAGCATCAACACACTCCCACTCTCTCTGAAGACCTTCAAAAAACAAGCAATGTTCTGTAATGTTACCCTGAGAACTGATGGCTTGAATAAAGTAGAGCGGTGTTCACTTCATCTCTCAAGAAGATGACTTGTTATGAAGACGAATACACAACACATACTGTTTGCATTAGCGGTGCCACTAGATATATGCAAAAAAAAATAAAAAATTATGAGTATGCCTATGATATATGCCCATAATTTATTTGTATAACTTAGAATTTTATTTTTATTATTTTATTTTATACCATCTTACATAAATGCTTTTTTTTATCTATCTGCACCCATACATTTATGATAAATCTGTTGTCCATGTCAGGCTGTTTTGATTTGTATTAATTCCCAGGATATTATTTGTGATGTTAAATTAATTCTTTATATCAACTATTTAATTTTCGCTAGTTAAAATGCTAATTCTTGATATCAGGAATTAGATTTAGTAGCAATGGCAATTTTTTTATATCAGGAATTACATTTCCAATAGTAAAAATGTGAATTCTGGATATCAACAATGATGTCATCACTCAATGTCATCACTTATTACATTTCAAGCTATAATTCTAGATATCCGTAATTGAATTTCCACTAGTTAAATGTCACCATAGCCATTCAAATTCAGTTGTTGATATCAAGAATTGATTTCTTACTAGTTGAATTTACATATCAATTAAATTCTTAATAGTAAAAATCATAATTTTTGATTGTGTGGTTATAGTGCAAATGTCTGGTATCAACTTGAATTGCTACTATAAATAAAATGTTCATTTTTGAAATCAATAATTTGCCACTAGTGACAATGTTAATTTCTGATATCATGAATGTGATTTTTTGTAAGAAAGCCATTACTCTCCTAATTATTATCATAAATACATTTTCACAGATGTCAGAAATTACAAATGTAACGTTGAAATACATTTACAGATATCAAGAATTAGGCCTAATATTTCAGCTAGTGACAATTGAGTTTATATTTTTAGTAACCAGGTAATTGTTGATATCAACAATTATGATTTTTACTAAGAATTGTATTTCTAACATTCTTGATATCAACAATTGATTTTGAATGGCAACCTATGGTGACATTTAACTAGTGAAAATACAGTTACAGATATCAAGAATTATAGTTTTTACTAGTTGAAATTGATATCATGAATTCTTATTTCTGCGAGTGATGATGTCATTTTTGATATCAAGAATTTGCATTTCAATAGTGAATTGAGTTGCTGATATCAAGAATTCATATCCTGCAGTGCATAAAAAACGGCTTGACATACAGTAGTGTGTGTGTGTGTGTGTCAGTATGAGTCATACATGCACCACACATCTAAATCCGTAGTAAAACTAGTGTAAAGCATCACATGGTGGCGCTAGAGATCTTTACTCTAACCCATAGTCTCTAAAACATGTCCATGCATGTCCTGCTCAAACAAAATATTATAACATACAGAATACATGGACAGAGTGAATGTTGTAATAATGAAGTAAATAAAATACATAAAAAAAATAAGGAAATAAAACATATTGTAGGATACACAGAAAATTGACAAATAAAAGGCGTGTTTTGACTACTTAAAACAATAACAATAATAATAATAAATTAAAATTCTACATTTAGTTTAATTATATTTTACATTTTATTTCAATTGAAAGTTATAGGCTACATTTAATTTAAATTGAATAAAAGTTAATATCGTGATTTACAGATCTATCTAATCGCAGGAATAAAATATTCCATCTTTGAGACGCGCGTCTTCATTCCAGCGCTCTCAGTGAACGCGCGTGACGCGCCAGTGAAATAAAATAAGGGGGCGGAGCCTCCGCGCGCGCGTGTATAAGACTGAAGCTCTGTGATGATTTCTCCCAGTCGGACTCGAGCATGGACATACTCAGGACTATAACACACCACCATCATCATCATCACCATCATCAGCCTGTGAACAACGGCAAGATGTGTGAACACACACACCACAGACCCACTGAGAGCAGACGAGGGAAAGCAGAGGATAATAATAATGCTCATGCCACGCAAGAAATGTCACGCATCATCACGGATTCAACCACTGGGAAATGTTACTGTAGAGGAAAAGTTTTGGGCAAGGTAAATATTTTACACATGAAAAAGTAATACAATGGAGCACCATGTAAATACCATAGTACAAAAAAACATGGTATCAGTACCATGATATATTTTAAATATTTAAAAGTGCATCAGCTATTTTATTTTGGGTTTTGTTTAATTTTATGAATTAGTAATGCATAAGAGTAAATAAGAGATTTGAATATACAATTGAATATACTGATATGTAATGCTGTTTTAATGCATCCTCTCTCTCTCTCTCTCTCTCTCTCTCTCTCTCTCTCTCTCTCTCTCTCTCTCTGTTTCAGGGCGGTTTTGCCAAATGCTATGAATTTACAGATCTAAGCACTGGGAAAATGTATGCAGCCAAAATCATTCCACACACGCGCGTCTCCAAACCTCACCAAAGGGAAAAGGTAACTTGCTGTCCTGTCGTCACGTATTTGCTGCTGGCTGCATTGCTTAAATCGCTAATTAAGTTTTTGCAACCGTTTGATTGACAGATCGACCGAGAAATCGAATTGCACAGAGCCCTGCATCACAAACACATCGTTCACTTCTACCACCACTTCGAGGACAAAGATAACATCTACATCCTGCTTGAATACTGCAGCAGACGGGTGAGTGCTATTGACGTCTTGCTTTAATAATAGGTCTTGTAGGAAATATTGTTGCGCTGACGTATTGTGTTGTTCTTCAGTCTCTAGCACATATTCTCAAGGCCCGAAAGGTGCTTACAGAACCAGAGGTTCGGTACTACCTGAGACAGATCGTCTCGGGGTTAAAGTATCTCCACGAGCAAGAAATTCTGCACAGAGACCTTAAACTAGGTAAGCCCCTGGAGCATTCAATCATTCCCAAACAATACAGAAATCCCATTCGTAACCTGATTCTGTTGCTTTTCCCAGGTAACTTTTTCATCAATGAATCAATGGAGCTCAAGGTTGGAGACTTCGGTCTGGCTGCGAAGCTCGAGCCGGTTGAGAACCGTAGGAGAACAATATGCGGGACGCCAAACTACCTGTCGCCTGAAGTCCTCAACAAGCAAGGGCACGGCTGTGAATCTGACGTCTGGGCTCTCGGCTGTGTGATGTGAGTACTAAAGCATCGCTGTTTCACTTTAAACGGGCCTCGCAACTGAAGGTTGCACTCGAAAAAGAGAGAAGATTGGAAATTAACGGGGGGTTGGGGGCAAAAATGCCACCAAAATGAATAAAAATGCCCCCAAAATTCAAGATATGGGGCAAAAAAAGTCACTGTATGAGTTCTTGTTTTAATATTTAAAATGGCCACCAAAAATGCCACTAAAATTTAATAAAAATGCCCCCAAAATTCAAGATATGGGGCAAAAAAAGTCACTGTATGAGTTCTTGTTTTAATATTTAAAATGGCCACCAAAATAATAAAAATGCCCCCAAAATTCAAGATATGGGGCCTCCGTTTGCACTCGAAAAAGAGATAATATCGGAAATTAACAGGGGGTTGGGGGCAAAAATGCCACCAAAATGAATAAAAATATCAAGATATGGAGCAAAAAATGTCACTGTATGAGTTCTTGTTTTTAATATTTATGATAGGATATAGTTAAGCAATACTGAATGAGCAAGAGTGCTGTTTACCGAATACCAGGACAATTGTCAATGTGTTATTGATTTCATACAACAGTTCAAAAACATGAAATTAACATTTAGACTACATTTTAGACTACATAAATCCACTGCAACACAGTGATGTTTCGTTACTGAATGAATCCGCGTTTAATGAGTGATTCGAATGAATGATTCAACAACTCGCTAATAAAGACATTCATTTTCTTCATCCAGCTGTTTTGAATGAATCATTTGACTGAATCATTTGACTCAATGATAGGCTCATTAGGACAATTTGCTGCAACCTACTAAGAAAATAAAGTAATTCCAGTCGCATTGCATACAATGTTTTTATCTGGCTCTGAATTGCAAAGTCCGCCTCTAACAAGGAGGATGTTACTCTTGTAAATGTCATGCAGATGTTTATTTATGATGGATGATTTGTGTCCCAACAGGTATACCATGCTTTTGGGAAGACCTCCTTTTGAAACCACAAACCTTAAAGAAACGTACCGGTGCATTCGTGAAGCGCGATACTCCATGCCGTCGTCTTTGTCGCCTCAAGCCAAGCATCTCATCAGCAATATGCTGGCCAAAAACCCTGTGGAAAGGCCACAACTCGATGATATTCTACGCCACGACTTTTTCTGCCAGGTGTGTGTCCGTTTGTGCGAACGAAACATGTCAGCAGTGAAGTATTCAGTGGTTTGAGCTTGTTTTTTCCCCTCTTATATCAGGGTTTCACACCAGACAGACTGTCTTCGAGCTGCTGCCACGCGGCCCCAGATCTCCACCACACCAGTCCTGCCAAGAGCTTCTTCAAGAAAGCTGCTGCCGCCCTGTTCGGTGGGAAGAAGGACAAAGCCAAGTACTTGGAGACTCACAGTAAGCGCTTGTGTACAGTAAACCATTGGTGACCCTGGACCACAAAACCAGTCACGAGTCGCAAGGGTGTATCTGTGGCAATAGCCAACAATACATTGTATGGGTCAAAATTATCGCCAAAAATCATTAGGATATTAAGTATCCACGTTCCATGAAGATATTTTGAAAATTTCCTACCGTTAATGTATATAAAAAATATTTTTGTGAGTGAATGCAGCAAAATCGCGAACATAAATGGACAAATTTAAAGGCGAGGGTGTTTTTTGCACCCTCAGATTTTCAAATGGTTTCACATTTAGTTGTATCTCAGCCAAATATTGTCATATCCTAACAAACCATACATCGATGGAAAGCTTATTTATTCAGCTCATTCAACTCAATTTAAAAAAAATGTACCCTTGTGACTGTTTTTGTGGTCTAGGGTCACATTTGTGGATTATCCAAATGACATCATTAGACTGATACACGTCTCGCTTCTTGTAGATAAACCAACCAAGGAAGAGGATGACATAAACAAACTATGCCTTGACCTCCGGAAAGCTTCACTCAGCCCCCAACCCTGCAGAAAACCCCTTGAGGTGAGCTCCTTCGTCCTCGTCCTTCTCTTAGTTGTGCAGAAAGTTTAAGATTGTAACCTAACCTCATGCACATTCCTTTCCTATATTTCCCACAGGACACTAAGCCCACTATCACAACTGCTGGAAAAGCAGCTGTTCCCGCAGTGAAGGACACTAGCAGCAAGCAGCACATTAGAGACAGCATTCGGATGATCGTGCGGGGAACGCTGGGGAGCTGCAGTAGCAGCAGCGAATGTAAGAGACTTGCACATTTTTATCAACGTGAGGATGTTAATGGATGTGTCAGTGCGATATCTAATGTGTTTTGGTGCTTTGTGTTCACAGGTCTTGAGGACAGCACAATGGGAAGCGTTGTGGACACTGTTGCACGAGTATTGCGCGGCTGTCTGGAGAACATGCCGGAAGGTGCGTATCCGACATGAACCGATTTACAAATGCAAAGTCACTTTTAATAACCAATTCTTAATAAAAAAGTAAAAATGCATTTAAAAATAAAACGGATTGTAAGATTTAAAAAGCACAAAAAGGGTAAAAAATAAATAAATATATATATTTAAAAATAACAATAATATATATATATATTAATTGAAATCAGTTTTGTTTAGAATTTTTTTTATTCCACGTTAAAGTTAATAATAATATAAGGCACATTAATACAAATATTAATAATATTTATTAATAATAAAGTAAAAAAAAATCTGAAAATAAAGCATATTTATAAAACATATTGTTAGATAAAAATAAAAAGCATTAAAAGGATTTTGAAAATTTTAAAAAGTTTAAATTCTGAAAATAAAATAATAAAAATTAAAAAAAAAAATTTTTTTTTTTCATGTCAGTTATACATGTCGTTTCACTTTTAATAACTTTTTTTTAAAATATAAACTAAATAAAATGCATAAAAAAATCTGAAAATAAAATATTTATAGAACATTGAAAAATACAGAGGGTTTTGTTATAAGTGTAAATAAAAATAAAAAGCATTAAAATAATTTTTTAACATTTTAAAAAGTTTAAATTCTGAAAATAAAATAATAAATTGAATTTTTGTTTGAGTTTTTTCCCATGTCAGTTATACATGTCGTTTCACTTTTAATAACTTTTTTTTAAATAATAAACTAAATAAAATGCATTAAAAAAATCTGAAAATAAAATATTTATAGAACATTGAAAAATACAGAGGGTTTTGTTATAAATGTAAATAAAAAATAAAAAGCATTAAAATAATTTTTGAAAAATGTATTGAAAAATAATTTGTCAAAGTTATACCTTTCACTTTTAATAATGCATTTTTAATCTCTTGTTTACAGCTAATAACATTCCCAAAGAAAGCATGAACGGCAGCTTCCAGTGGGTGACGAAGTGGGTGGACTATTCCAACAAGTACGGCTTCGGCTACCAGTTGTCGGATCACACAGTTGGCGTCCTCTTCAACAACGGCACACACATGAGCCTTCTGTCGGACAAAAAGTACGTTGCCCATCTCAAGTGTCTTTGTAGCTCTTTTCCTGATAAAGATCATGAAGACTAACGTGTCTTTAAACCTTCAGGACGGTGCATTACTATGCAGAGCTGGGACAATGTTCGGTCTTCCCCACTACTGAAGCCCCAGAGCAGTTCGTCGGTCAGGTCACCATCTTAAAATACTTCGCCCACTACATGGAGGAGAATTTGATGGATGTAAGTGTCCTCGCTTGGTGGAAACCTGTTGCAATGGAAGTCTATCAATAATTCACAGATTTTCTGATTATAACTTGCTGCTCTTCAACAGGGAGGTGATTTACCCAACGTAACTGATGCAGGCAAACCCAGACTGTACCTTCTTCAGTGGCTCAAATCGGATCGAGCACTCATGATGCTCTTCAACGATGGCACTTTCCAGGTAAAACTTCATATTTGCTCTGCTAGAATGAAAGAACATCTACATAATAGGGATGTAACGATACCCTCATGTCACGATTCGATACATATCACGATACGATATTATTGCGATACTCCAAGACATGTAGTAAAAGGTTAACTTAAAATGCTACATTTGGTATTACATTGTGGGTGTAAATGAAATGGTGACAGCAGAATAAAAATATTCATGATTCTGAAGCTGAAAACTATGGAAGCTTGTTTCCGCCACAGAATGAAAAATAAAAAAGGTAATTGCGACTTTTTATCTCACAATTCTGACTTTTTTTCTCACAATTGCGTGAGAAAAAAACTTTACAGAAATTAAAGTCAGAATTGCGAGATGTAAACTCGCAATTGTGAGAAAAAAAGTCAGAATTGTGAGATAAAAAGTCGCAATTACCTTTTTTATTTTTCATTCTATAAAGTCAGAATTGCGTGATATAAAATCGCAATTGCATGTTATAAAGTCAGAATTGCGAGATATAAAGTCAGAATTTATTGATATAAAGTCGCAATTGCGTGTTGTAAAGTCAGAATTGCGTGAAATAAAGTCACAATTGCGTGTTATAGTCAGAATTGCGTGTTATAAAGTCAGAATTGCGAGATATAAAGTCAGAATTTATTGATATAAAGTCGCAATTGCGTGTTGTAAAGTCAGAATTGCGTGAAATAAAGTCGCAATTGCGTGTTATAGTCAGAATTGCGTGAAATAAAGTCAGAATTGATTGATATAAAGTCGAAATTGCGTGTTATAAAGTCAGAATTGTGAGATATAAACTATTCTGAGGGGAAAAAAGTTAGTCTTTTTTTCTTAGAATTGGCCTGATAACTCGCAATTGCGAGTTTATATCTCACAATTGTGAGAAAAGATGTTAGAATTGTGAGATAAAATTCGCAATTCTGTCTTTTTTTCTCTCGCAATTGCGACTTTATTTCTCACAATTCTGACTTCATATCTCGCAATTGTGAGATAAAAAGTCGCAATTATTATTTTTATTTGTTTTATTCAGTGGCGGAAACAAGCTTCCATAGAAAACAGAATTATTTTAGACGAATATTCTTGCACTCTTTCACTGACTAGATATATTTTAAAAAAATGTAGGACACTTTTTACTGGTAACATCAGACATTTGGCATTATCAGGACCCCAAATTTGCATTATTATACATTATATTGAACATTATATATAGTAGTTTAATGTAGTACTGACAAAAAAATTTTCCTCACACAGAAATTTTATTTTGGGTGAACTATACACAATACTTTTGTCACTAGTATCCGCGATACATGTTGTTGCAGTTTTGTATTGCGATATATTGTGACACCCCGACTACATAATGTTGACTTGATTGCTAAACTCATGCTATTCCCACAGGTCAACTTCTACCACGATCACACCAAGATCATCCTGTGCAATCAGAGTGAAGAATACCTCTTGACGTATATCAACGAGGACCGTGTTTCCACCACGTTGCGTCTCAGCACGCTCCTCGTGTCGGGATGCTCACCGGACCTTCGCACCCGCATGGACTACGCACTCGACATGCTGTTGCAGAGATGCAACTGAACCACACGAGCGCACAGAGACTGGGATACTTCGAAAAGACGAGAATGTGGACTATTTACGACTGGACGGGAGAGTGTTGAAGACGGGAGGAGATGAAATGGATTATGAGTTTTACAAAAGGACTGAACTGAGCTGGGCTGGAACCAGAGACGATGATGAAATCAAGATGATAATGTCTCATTTGAGGTGTTTTAAATGCAGAAATCTTGCTTTGTTGAAGCCAAACGGAGATATTAACTCTTTCCCCGCCAGCGTTGACTACAAAAGTTGCCCCGAATCACATTCACAAAACTTTCACGGCCTCCAGAATATTTTCTTGTACGGATAAACATTCAATATATTGAAAGAAAGAAAGAACAGAGCCTCTGCTTTTAAACTAACGAAAATATATCCACACTTGAATGTGGATCAGAAACAAAAAGCGGAGAAAATCTCGTTTTTGTCAAAGACTTTGTCGGGATCGATAATCAAAACACAGATGCGGTAGATCGAGTCCATCAAGTCCATCCGTCGTTTCCTCTTCATGGGTTCGACATTTCATTCGATAACAATATTCAGTTTTGATTTATATTTTGTTTATGTTTGATGATCACGTAAATGACTTCTATCCGCTCGTTCTGGTTTACACAGATCATATTCTTCGCTTGTTTTTTGGATTTGGAGATGCTGTGCTATTTCAGAAGTTGCGCAACAGCGCCCCCTACCAAACCCAGATTCCCGGGACAAACTGGTCAATGGCGGGGAAAGAGTTAAAGTTGAGGAAAGAAGGCTTTAGAAAGGCAGGGTGGTTGGATGTAGCTCTCTTGAGAGCAGATTTCGTTTAACTGTGAAAACATTCCTGCTTAAGGACACGAGCTACAGAGTGAAATGATCCGATGCTGTAGTTCAACATTTCACTGTGCGCACGCTCTGCAATGCCATGGACATAACTTATTATCAGACAGAACCCACTATTTATTTATTTAATAAAGATGATCTTAGAATAATGTCAGTGTTCATGAGTGATGTTTCAAGAACACACGTTATTTAATTGTTCAGTACAATAATCGTGTCTAGCGCTTTGTCCTTTTGCGTCAATCTCCCAGGGCATCATGGGAGTTGAGACAAACTCATTATGCAAGGCCGGTGGCAAAACCGCAATCGGCGTTTGTCTTGTCTTGATGTTTGTATAAAGATTAAAGATGAATAATATTGTGGAGGTGTTGTATTTTTTCTTTTTTGAAGCGTAATTACCCCCATTGTCCCTGCGTCTGAGTGCTAAAGCATAAGTCTATTATGTAAACCTCCAGGGGCCCGATGAAGCCACTTCAAAAACACACATTATGCTTATAAAAGGGAAGAAAACATGAATTTCACCACCTACTTTCAGCCCAGTACAAATTCCCTTCGCTATGTTGTCCAGCCTTTCATGCACTATAGTAAAAACAGTACTTGACTTGATTATGTACTGTATTTATAATGCAATGCTTAAAACTACTTGATCTCATCGATGGATTGCTTTACTTTATTATTTGCTTTAGTTTTCTTCCTGCAACCAGAACAGACCTGTGACCCATTTATGGAAATATTTAAGCTTTACACCTTTACTGTGACAAATGCCAACACTTTTCATCATGCACTAATTAACTCAGTTATTATAATTAGTCATAATTTAAAGATGAATAGGGTGCACGGATAAATAGCTCGTATAAGGTTTCCAGAATGAATCAAACCAAATGCATCTGAATACCTGCAGCGTAGACACAGTTAATGAAATTAAATTAAATATGAAAGTGCCATGTGAAGGCCAAGTATGGTAACACATACTTGGTCCTCTGCCTTTAACCCATCCAAGATAGTTCACACACATTAGGAGCAGTGAGTAGTGAACACACACACACTTCAAACCGTGGACACACACACTTGGAGAAGTGGGCAGCCATTTTTGCTGTGGCGCCCGGGGAGCGATTGGGGTTTAGGTGCCTTGCTAATATTCAGTTGTTTCCGACCGATATTGAGATTCAAATCTGCAACCTTCGGGTTACCAGCCTGACTCTCTAACCATTAGGCCACGTCTGCCCTGTCACATACTTTTGTTCTTTAATAGGCCATGGGTTGCACTAAATCCATTCCCTAAAAATAGTATGATGGAAAAACATTTTTGCGTCCCAATTCTTCACATCATTTTAGGGACCGGCAGCATCAGTCGCCATTTCCCTTTCATTGAATCTTTTCACTGCACAGCAAAACTAAATAGTGACTGAAGCTGTCATTCTGAGAAACTGCTTTTGCTTCAATGCATGTCATTGGTTTTGAAACAACTTGAGGCTAGTAAATAATAATGAAATCATTTTTGGATGAACTTGCAATCCCTTTGAATACCATGAACTAGGGCTGTAGTCAAGACCACCTTTGTCGAGTCCAAGACCATGACTAGTCGAGTCCAAGTCAATACCAAGTCCAAAGAGGTTAGAATCCAAGACAAGACCGAGTCCAAAAAGGTTCAGGACAGGAAAAAAGTCTTATGCATGACATTATCAAGACAATCATTTTGGGTTATTATTTGTTGATCTAAAAGCAAAAACAGTGTCACAACACCCAGGATTTTTAAGTAGGCCTATAGACATTCCCCTTGATATCATCTTTAATCTAAAGAAAAAAGAATGATGACATATGGTGATACCTCATAATAGCAGTGTTAAAACTGATACAAACAACATCAACCTACTTTTATTACCACTGCTAAGTATTAGTACTAACTAAATTACAATATAGCTTCACTCCAGTAAAATATATCTGTGGTAATTTCTTCACGTTAAACCGAACTTTTATTTTGACGGGTTTCTGAGTGTATCTGACGATGAAATGCTGAAGATAAATGTGTACTTGTGTGTAGCAGCTAGTAGCTACATGAACCTACGGCACTCACTTGCAGAGACTCGCTGAACAATCAGATTTGATAGCAGTCTTTAATATTCACAGTCACTAGTCCATATAGCAATTTCATAATTATGAACGGCAGTGAATAGACAGATCTGGTATTTCAGCAATGCGCCGGTATTGCAGTAGCAAATAGTAGAAAATAAATCACACACGCGCAGGTCGTACTTGTCAATGACTGGCACTACAATCTGCGGTAATCTGTGGAGGTTTTCTGCGGGTCCATACTACAATAATACATTACTGGGAACATAATAAAGACACCTGGACTACATATTTGGCAAGACCAGTGGCCGAGACCGAGACAAGTCCGAGTCCGAATACCAGCGAGTCCGAGACAAGTCCGAGACCATAGAAAAACGGTCTCGAGTCCGGACTCGAGTACTACAGCCCTGCCATGAACATGGTAATCAGTATGGTATACAAATATGGCTTTTTCAAAGTTAAAGTCCCCCTGTAGTCAATAATGTTATCCCTTTTAAACTAATCTTTGATCACCAAAATGACATATTTAAATGTTTTTCTTTGAAAAAAAATCGTCATGCCTTAAAATAGCTTGAATGTAACTCGACACCCTTGCCTCATTTAGAATACAACCCCCGCCTCCACTCACTCACTCAGCTCAGAGATCCACTGGTTGACGATCACACGTTGATCTGATTGGTTACAAGGTCGTTTGTGACGTCAGAAACACCAGCGATTTCAAACCGTGTTTTTGAGACTGCCTTTGGTTCACTGCAGTGTTAGGGAGAAAATACTCAGCAATGGTGTCGACTTATGAATTTACACATGGTTTGTCTTAAAGCATATTAAAAACACCACATAGACACATAAACAACATTAAAAGCTTGATTTTCACCACAGGGGGACTTTAAACATATATCTTGGAATGAGACATTATTCAGTTTTCCTTTTTTCCATCTTTGTATTGAGCCAGCTGGTTTGCCTCTCTCTTGGCCTTGACGAGGAAAGATTCTAGGAACAGAGATGCGTTTGTTGTCCAAGATCAGTATAGGCCCGGCACAGTTGGCCGCCTGGAGTGAAGTCTCTTTCTAGCATCATCTGTCACTTCTGTGAAATCTAGGCCATTTTGTCTTCTCTAAATAAAAGCCAAGTTACTTAATAGGCTGAATTCACAAAATAACACTTTTACAGTTACATAACACGTACATAGCCACTGATACTGACTATAACAATGATCTTTTTAGCTTTTACACAGGCCTTCAGTGCACACATGGTCAAATGACTGGATCTCTGAGTAATGAAGTCATAAGATAAAAGTAAAGTCATAATATAATATTAAATAGATAAATAAATAAAATGAATATTTTAAAATATAATTAAAAAATAACTATTAAAAATGTTTATACATTATTTGAATAATAACAATTATTGATAATATAATATAATATATGACAAAATGCTTTAATATTGTAAAGCAAGGGACACAATGGACTTATTTTGGCATTTTTAAGACAAAAAAAATGTACTAGACTATAATGTACTATATATCCCGCACACTACTTGAGTTTGCAAAAATGACAAAAAAAATGTAAAATGTAATCGTTTGAAAAAATTTAATGATCTATCTTCCTCAGTCTCACTAAACACAAACAAATGACCAAAACTGGGTAAATGTGTTGGCCTCAAAACTGTGAGTTTAGCTGGCAACGTATTAGACAGCATTCTTGTAATGAAAAGGTTGTAATTATCTTAACGAAGCTCCTCTTAAGTGCCGCTGATATAATTAGATCTAATCTTCTCTGGAATTGTTTGCAGAATTACGTCCTTAGGTGGGGACAAAGGAAGCACAAATGATAGATTACAATTAACGGTTAAGAGCACATTTTCCACAATGTCATTACAGACCTTAAATACCTCCAGACATATTATAGTGTTCATGTGGTTCATGACTTTCATTTCAGCATGACACATATTTCACTAAGCCACAACTTTACATCGTACACATGAAACATATTAAAGGGCTAGTTCACCCAAAAATGAAAATGATGTCATTAATGACTGATGTCACATGGACTACTTTGATGATGTCTTTATTTCCTTTCTGGACAAGGACAGTATACCGTACATACATTTTCAATGGAGGGACAGAAAGCTCTCGGACTAAATCGAAAATATCTTAAACTGTGTTCCGAAGATGAACGGAGGTCTGACGGGCTTGGGACGACAAGAGGGCGAGTCATTAATGACATCATTTTCATTTTTGGGTGAACTAACCCTATAATATGTGTATGCATGAACATAATAATCCATTCAGCTAAACCAGTTCATAATGCATGTCACAGGAAACACGTCTTGATCTAAATATGTGAATTGTGTTGTAAATGAGGATACAGCTTTTCCACGATATTTCTCAAGAGATGGCAAACAACATGTGAAGATAATGAATCACGCCCGATTACTTAACACCCATCTGCTGGCAACTCCAACATCCTTCATAGCAGTG